CCGGGGCCTGGGGGTTTGTTTGGGCCGGCGGGGGGGGCTGCGGTGCGCCTGACGCTGCCGCGGCCTCCCAGCCCCGCTACCAGGGGCCGGCTCTGCCCCCGGCGTAACGGTCTGGACACCACGGGGCTTCCACCCAGGAGGGCTTTGGCCCGGTGGATCCGCATGCGCGGTGCCATCTGTGCACCTGCCTGCCCTGCTCCCTGCGGCTCCTTCTGGGGTGGACCCGTCCCCTGGGGCCTGCGGGGCGCGGGCGAGGACCCTCACGAAGGGGTGGGAAGGGCCGGCGGGCGTTGGAGCTGGGAGGCAGAGCCGGGGAGCGTGGGGGTGGGCAGCAGCTGTGTCTTGCACCAGGCGTTTCCTGGCAAGCTGCCCCCTGGACCCTTTTCCTGGACGCTCCCAGGGCGGAGGCGCTGGCACCGCTTGGGGGGCTCTGGGCTGGGGGGAGGAGCCGGGAGCCGAGTGCGTCCTGGTGGGAGGAGCTGGGAGCCCAGTGCGTACTGGTGGGAGGAGCCGGGAGCCCAGTGCGTACTGGTGGGAGGTGCCAGTGCAGGGACCCGAGTCCCAAGCGTGGGGCAGATCGAAGCCCTGGGGTCACGCCGGGAGCCCGGGCCAGATCCGGGCCTTGTGCCCAGCCCAGCCCGGCGGTGCCAGGCCAGCCCCGTTGTTGCCGAGGCTGCCGCGGCCGCTGGCGCTGCGCCCTGCCTGGGGACAAAGGGGGACGGTGCCCGGCCCTGGAAACAGCCCTGCGGTTCCCACGGCATCGGGTGCCTGCCGGGCTGGGGCGGGAGGGGGCCGCGGGACGATCTGCCCCTGGCTCCGGCTCTTCTTGGCAGAACCGGCCTTGAACTCAGGCATCTGGGGCTCCTAGCGCTGCCTCTGGGCGGGGGGCATTTGGCCCTCGGGGCAGGGTCCCACCCTGCAATCGCAGGCCCCAGGTGCGGTTTCGGATGCACCTGCCCGGGGGGGCCGTGACCCCGAGGACTCCCCATTTGGGCCCCAAACATGAGACTCGGCCCCCTAGCCGCATGCTCAGCTGCTTGCCCCGTCTCCCCCTTGCCGACGTGCCGGGCAGCGCGCCCCGCTTTGCAGAAGGGGTCTGGGGCGCTCCGCGGCGCTGCTTGGGCCCTGTCGGGGCGGCGGGTTGGGAGCCGCCCGGCAGCCTCTCCCCCGGGGCTGCTTTGTGCTGCCGGCTATTGGGTTTCCCCCGCCCCCCCGCCCCAGCTGGGATCCAGCCTCCGCTGTCATGTCAATTAGTGGAAGCTGGTAACAACAGGCTGTTTGTTTAACGCCCCCCGGGGCCGGGAGGAGGGTCTGGGGGCACCGGGAGCGACTAGACCCAGCTGCTCCCCTCCTGCGCGGCGCTGACGCCTAGCACGGGGCAGCCCCGGGCGCCTCTGCCCCTCCTGCGCTCCTAGCGCCCCTCGCTGGCACAGCATAGGGACCCCCGGCGCGGAGCGGGGCGCAGGCCTGGGATAATGCTTGTGCCCCCAGCCCCATTGCCACCTGCAGCCTCTTCCCTCGGCCTCAGGGAGCATCCTCCGGCCTCCCACCGCTGCCTGGCTGCGCGCACAGCTCCAGCCCGGGGGCAGAGAGCGGCCCTGGTGACGGCCGGGCTCGGGGCAGGCCTGCTGGCTGCGGAGGGGCAGGGATGGGGGGTGTCAGGGGTCCCAGGGCTTGCCCATGCCCTGCCCTGCTCCGTGCCTGGATGTGACCATCTGGGCTCCCTGCCCTGGCAACTTCAAGGCACGCTTGCCAGGCCCGGCCCAGGCTGGGGGTGCCCCGAGGCCCCGGGGCCCGGCTGCTCCTCGGCTCTGGCCCCCGCCCCACGCCGGGGTCTGGGGGCTCTGTCCGCGGTGCTGAACCCCTGTAGCCTGGGCCTTCGCCGTGCGGGGGTCTGGCACCCGGTGCTCGGCGCTGCGCGTGCCGAGTGGGGAGAGGACCCAGGTGTCCGGCCTCCCAGCCTGCCCCACGGCACCCTCCCGTCCCGCACCCTCAGCCCAGCGAGCTCGGGGGGCTCTTGCTTCTGGCTCGCAGGGCTTTGCTTGCACCTCTAGCCCCTTTGCCCGTGGTCAGAGGTGGGAGGGCAGACCTGCTCAGCGCCTCAGTTTCCCCCGCCGTGGCCTGGGGCAGCCTCGGTGAGGCGCGTTGAGCTCTTGGTTGGAGAGGATGGGGAGGAGGATGGAGAGGAGAACGAGCCCTCCCGGCTCCGTGCCTCCGTTTCCCCAGCCAGAGCTACAGGGGGTCTCTGCAGTCCCAGGGGTACGAGGGCTACATGGGACCTGGGCAGGGGTCTGGCATGGGTTCATCCAAATCCTGCCCAGGCCAGCGGGCATCCCTGGCCCAGGATGGCGGCGGCTTCTGCTTTGCACCAGGATCCGGCCCAGATGCAGCCCCCACCTGGAAGCGGAACTGGGCCTGGGCCCTGCCCTCGGCTCCGTGGCCGCCCGGACCCACAATATCTTTGCTGGCCTTGCTGGGAGCCCAGGACGGGAAAATGAATCCTCCTGGCTTTTATACCCCGGCTGCTGGTGCACGATTGGCTGTCTCCGTAGCAACCAGAGATCCTGGACCGGCCCGGGATTGGCTGCCTGCCTTGGCAGCATCTCCAGCGCTTCTCGTGATGGCCATGATTTATTCACCGTCGCACGGGAATTGCCCCGACGCGAGCTGTACGAGGCTTCCCGGTGCCGGAGCC